CGTGAGTTTATAGTGATCGCGAAAATCGTGACATTTTTCGTGAGTCCAATAGCGATCGCGTTACGCGTTCACGCCATGACTTTTTTCCGTGACTCACGTCGCGACTTTGCCGTGAGAGTCGACCTGGACAATCAACGCTCTATCGAACGTTATATTTCTTCGTTCTTTTTGTCTTGCGTCTAGTTATTATAGTTTTCTTTGATTCTTACGTTTGATATACAGCATGACATACATTCTTACGAAAAAAAAATGCTAAGGCGAAACTTTCACTTTCATTCATTTCATATTTTGTTCTTTCATTCATTTCATAATTTTTTCTTTTATAGAAAAAAATATGAAATGAATGAAAGTGAAAGTTTCGCCTTAGCATTTTTTTTTCGTAAGAATGTATGTCATGCTATATATCAAACGTAAGAATGAAAGAAAACTATAATAACTAGACGCAAGACAAAAAGAACGAAGAAATATAACGTTATTCTTTCATCTCATCTCTAATCCAAGTCGTAGGCATTGCACATGTTAGAACATGCAGACGATAAAAACAAAAAAACAACAAGGCACAGACATATCGACGGACGTCCATCAAGAATTTCTGATTCGATGATTTTTTGAACCATCAATATTTTGTCATATTTTAATGCATAAATGCGCTGAACTATAACAATAATAATGTTGAAAAAGGTAATTCCATAGTAATAAATTTTAATATAGAAGCTGTCTTTTCTATGTGATATTTGGTATAGAAACATTAATTTCGACTCCAAACCAAATTCTGACTTATGTTTTACAGTGTTTCCGTTCTAGAGAAAGACAGTTGTGGCTTTCTCATAGGATAAACGTCAGGGCACAAATATGTCAAAAAAACTTTTCATTGTACACTTTTGCATTGGATTAGGGTTTACTTTAATAGCTGATTTTCCCGGTCTAATTATTATTTGCAGATTTGTACTTATTATGGAAAAAGACTCAACATATACTGGTCAGAAAGATAAACGTCACTCAACATTAGAGGATACGATAAAAAGCGACCAACATAGTATAACTGATATTGGTAAACATGGAATATTTGTCGAGAGAACGCTGGCACTCATTAAACCAGATGCAATTCAAAATACAAATGAGATTGAAGATATGATACTGAAAAGTGGTTTTACCATCTTACAAGTGTGTTCACCTTTGATAATAAGCCATTTATTTGATTATTCTTTTCTACTTTAGAAACGTCGAGTTACATTGACAGCTGAACAATGTTCCGATTTTTATAGTGAGCATTGTGGCAAAAAGTTTTTTCCATCTCTCGTTGCATTTATGACGAGTGGACCAATATTAGCCATGGTGTTGGCGAGAGAAAATGCAATAAGTGCATGGCGAGAATTAATTGGGCCGACAAATTCAACCCAAGCCAGAGAATCACATCCTGACAGGTACATAGTTGAGTACTCTTTCGCTCAGATTAGTAGTTTAGGTTGTTGTTATTTTGTTCTTCTTCTTTTGATTAGTGTTCGAGCACTTTTTGGCACAAACGAACAGAAAAATGCTGTGCATGGAAGTGATTCACTTATTAGTGCTGAAAGAGAAATAAGATTCTTCTTTCCAAATTGTAAGTAGTAAACTTATGCATAGAAAAGAGTACACTTGTTATCTAATAGTGTTTTATAGGTTGTCTGTTCATCTCAATCTTTTATTCTGTGTTTTTCTAGAAATCAATTCTATGTTTAAGCTTTTGAAGTCTATAGCTACACTTTCTAGTTCGATAAATTATATGATCTGATAATTTGCTCTATTTTTCCAAGGCATTGTTGAACCAGTCAGTCCGTTTGCACTTTCCCGATCGAGAAATGTGTCCCAATCGGGAAAGATGTTATCTCATGAACCATAAGTCGCTGGAGTGCGGCCAAGTTTTATTCTGTTTCTTAGGTGATTTACAGTTGCTCTATGTGAAAAGCCGAAGCTCTTCTTTGATCGTTGCTTACATGCCATGCTAAAACAACTTTTTGCTGAAAAATCTCTTATTTTTATTTACCGATCGGGAAATAAGACAGGATATTTCCTGTTCGGGAAAGATCAACTATTTCCCATTTGGGAAAGATGTATTTCCTGATCGAAAAATAATGCGATACTATGCACTGTACTCTTCTTAACGCTGTACAGT